CACGAGAGTCACCTGACCCCCAGAAGCAGAGGTTGCACTGAGCCAAGATTGAGCCATTGACTCCAGCCTGGGGGACAGAGACAGTGTCCCCACCCTCTCGCCAAAAAAAAAAAAAAAAAAGTCAACAATTATTTTGAATGGGGAGTGGAATTTTATTTATTTCTCCATAGTTTATATTTACAAATGATATGAAGAAAAATAAAATTAGAGGCAAGAAGAGTGACCAGAGGAGGTAGGGGTGAAGAGGAAAAGGGTTATCAGCAATGCCTCACTGAGAATGTCACATTTGGGCAGACTCTTTGGAATGTAAGGAAATGACAAATAGGATGATCTCCAATAGGAGTGTTCCATGGAAAAAAAAAAAAACACCACATGCAAAAAAACATGTTTCAGGAATAAAATTGGCTTGAATAGCTATAGAGTCATTGTTGTGAGAGGTTTTTTTTGTTATTGTTTGTTTTTTTTAATAAAGTCAATTTTCAGTATGATTATGTTCAAAAGTAGACAGTGATCTTCAGGATGTTTCTGTTTACAGATGATTATTTGCAAAACTTCCATTTTACATATTACCTACTGTTAAACTCAAGGATCATATGATCATCTATGAATTAGGGTTAATATGTGCTTGTTCTGAGGAAAATGTAGAGAAAGGAATCATCCTTCTTGATGAGTTTAAGAAAGTACATCATGGCCACATATCTTAGATCATTTAGAGTCAATCATAGTATAAATAGAATTTACACTACATAAGATCATTAGGTCATTTGCACTCTATACATTGTGATTGCTTATTTTAAAATGAGAGAAGGTGAAAATGTTGATCATATTGCTACTTGATGTAGCTATATAAAAAGGAAGGAAGAGATCATCTTGAGGTTATAAATTTCTGAATATTTGTGAATTTATTTTCATTACTTTTATATACTTTCATCAACATAACATGAAACTCTAATAAGACATGTGGAGTGGGGTGAGGTAAAACAATAGGTCATATTTTGAAGAGGGACACTGAATGTTTTGTAAACAGTAGCAAAATTGTAAGTTAAAAAACTATCTAAAGCAGTAAGTACTGCTATAAATATATACAAAAAATACATATACCAACCATACCAACCATTTTGTATATAAAAAATACATATACTAACCATATACACACATCATATATATTAATAATACTACTTATATTGTGATGTATATACTATATAGTAGTATGTCTATAAATTCTTAACATTTCTGCAACACAGTCAGATTGTCTCATAGTTAAAACGCTAGCAAGCAAGGAGAATGACAATCAATGTTTCCAGTACTCAATAAGCTAATTTTCCTCCACAAGGGTGTACATTTTCACCAGGCCATGAAATTTGTTTTTCTAGGTCAATTTACTACAAGGGTCAATTTGCTATGAGAGTAAATTTAGCATGGATTTTTAGATTTTCAGTTCTGGGATTGACTGTATATTTAAAAATATTTATATGTTTCCCCTAAATTTAGCATTTTAAAAAAGAAATATAAATGTTCTGGTGAACCATGTTAAATCACAGAAAATTTATCCATAGTGATAAAAGTTTTCCCCATTTCCATTTCAATATTTTTAGCACAATTAAAACTGCAGACAGTTTACTTGGCTCCCAAAAGGGTAAAAAAGCATAATCATCACAGTCAGGATAAATTTCAATACTTTCAACTGTGGTAGAAAAATCACAAAATATAAGCTAAGCACAGTCTCCTCTGTGATAACTACCTTAAAAAAAACAAAACAAAACAAAACAAAACAAAAACCTGTATTTGGTACTATTGAGAGAGGAGGAGGAGGTTGTCATCTTATTCTGTGATAGCATATATAAAGAGGACCAATCTGTTCAAGGCAGAAAAAATTATAAACTATCTTTTATATAACACATTAATTACTAATGAATGACTTACTTGTAAGGCATTAATTTCTCTTCGTTTCATAATGTATATTAAAATACTTAATTAAATATTAAAAATATTTTTGCCATGAAGTGAAAGAGAATATGGAGCTTAATTATAAAGAAAGTAAAGAGAATTTCGCTAACAGGTTTAATATTTCAAATTATTGCATAAATGGATGCATGGATAGATGCCATCTTTTGGCAATTTATGAAACTAATTAATTGATGATTCCTATGGGGTCAGTTAATTTATACATTTACTGCCACATTGAGGATATATGTAGACAACATAACCTTAAACCTATGAAATGAAGATACTGGAAGATATTTAATTGTATTCACAGAACTGCTGTAAGTTTTAGAAATGAATTTATTCGTACAAGTCTATATAACATTTTGACAATGTTACATTTTTCTAAAATATTCAAAGATCTTACAACATTGAGTATTGGCTATTTTTAAATTAATCGTGTAATAGCATCTAAGAATAGACTATTTGAAAAATAGAGTATTATCTGTTCTTTGTACATGAATTTGACATTATTTATCCAAATGACCAGAGTTTATGTTTTCAGTATTTTTCTCCCAGATAGGCAATCAGTGCACATTTCTCTTCTAGTCTTCCGGGTGTATGGCCTAAACAGAGCCCTTAATCACAAGAAAGTTCATGACTCTCAGCCAAACTTTCAACTTAAAAAAAAATCTAATTAAATTAATCATTTTGTTTCATAGTTTACAAAAGGAGTTACTTTTGTCATGAGAAGGATATTCCTGGGGTTTCTGAAGATAGTAATTTACCAAAAACCCCCTGGGCATTTTAGGTTCTTCCATTTCATAGATCGCCCACTGAAATTATCTCTGGGGGTAAGGATGTAGCAAAACAGTGTTACAGACCAGTGCTTCTCCAACTTTCTGTGCGTACAAATCACTACAAATCTTGGTATAATGAAGATTCTGACTCTGTAGGTATGGGGCAGGGCTGAGATTCTGCTGTCCTGATAAATTCTTAGGTGCTGCTGGTGCTGCTGGTCTGGGAACCACATATTTAGTAGTAAAGCTACAAATTATGTAAGGGTACAAATCCGAATTGCTGTCATGGTTATCAACAAGACTCAGAAGAAGACTCTTTTTCAGAGTATTGGTTACAAATGCCTATATATTCATGCTCAAATGGGGTATTTTTTTGAATATGACAATCTTAAAGATTTTCTATTGCTCAGTGTAGCTTTATAAGTAATTCAGTCCAGCTCCTTCATATTATAGTTGAGGTCACTGAGGGTCAAGGAAGTTGAATATATGCCCAAGGTCACACAGCTAGAAGCAGGATATGCACTAGAACCCAGAAACTCTGACTACCATTTCAACAAAAAAAACCCTAACTTCTTTGGCATTTCCATTTGTTATATTCTCCCTGACACAAAACCTAAGCGTGAGTCAATAATGATTAGAATTTCACCTTTTGATCCTCACAATAGTTTAAATGATAGCACTATCTGTGGACTCACTGACTGACTTTCCTAACAGCTAAAACTCACAGTAGGCAACTATCTCCTACAATAACACGGGTATTCACACATCTTTCTTCAAGAATGTGCTTGCAGTTTTATTATGGACATTTTGTTCCTTAATTTTGAGAACCTGGGGAGAAAGGTGGGCAGAGAAATGAATGGGTCATTAGTTAAAAGGCAAGGGTTGAATTTGCAAAAGGTTGTGGCAAAGTAAGCAACAAATGGGAAAGAGTGAAGGGCATCAATATTGATCTTGCCTCTCATCTTTCCCTCTGTCTTCTTGCTTGCAGGTTTCTATTGTGTAGTCTCTCAAACAAAGCCGACTTTATGGTGTGACTGATTTAACACTACTGAAACAGTCCATCATCTGTTAATTTGTTCCAATTCAAAACTGGTCATAGGGAAAACCCTGAGAATTAAGCTCATTTAGAAACACAACTTCTGATTCATTTATGTCTTGCTCATTTATGTCTCCTCTTCTAAAGGATACAATTCAGGGTGTTGATTTATAGAGGTGGTTCTTTTCAGTTTCCTGAGTTTCTGTGACCCCTTTTGGTTGTGTCCATTAAAAAAGTACCCTTCTGCCTCTCTCCCCTCGTAAGGCTATCGTTAAAACATTTTAAAGAGGCTTGCCTAAGATTTCCTGCTATCCGGAATTAGAAAAATCCCACTAAACAGCTAGAGTCACCATTTATAAAGTACGTACGCATTGCATGGACTTACGCTAACATGACTGCTTTCTCACTTAATCCTTACAACTCTTAAAGTTAAGTACTATTATCCCCGTTTTGCAGTTGAGGAGGCTTTAGATTTAAACGTTCAAGTAAATCATCAAACACTATAAAACAAGAAGCGACAGCTATGCTATTTGAACCAAAGGCTGCCTGATGCCAGTGCCAGCACTGCTACCCACCAAGCTCCACTGAGATTTATGCCTAGACTAAGTAAAATCTCTGAACAACAACAACAAAATTATTTCCTCCACTTATTTTTCCTTCTTTGCAACACAAGTTCTTGTAGGCAGGTAGGTGTTCCACTCTCTATACTTAGCCTCTCCCACGTCCTCTGCAATCTTTCCCTTTTGCTGCTGGAATCGTCAGAGATTGCTACTGCAGCTGGTGAGTGGGCAGGTGCAGCCACCATCTGCTCTAGGAGTCCAAATGCGCAGAAGAACCTCGCACCCAGGACCTGGCCCAGGCACCACGAATTCCAGAACATGCTGGGGACACGGCTAACCCCGCCCCCTCGCGGTGGCGATTGGCTGAACCCTCCCTGAGTGCAGAGCGCTGATTAATGAAGGCAGTTGTCTCGCCTGCACGTTCGGACGAGACATCTCTAAAGAGGTGAGATCCGCCGGGGGTGCTGAATGGGGGCTTCAGTGCTTCATGCCCGAAGGGTCCTTGAGAAGCCTGTTTGTTTTTCCCGGCGCTTGTCTCCACCCATCCCCTTCTCTCATTGGCCAGACCTGGTGGGCGGCTGTGTTTCCATTGGCCGGGGGGCGGTGTCTGTCCCTGGCCAGGGTGGGGGCGGGGCCTCCGCCGCTCTGAGCTTGCCCTTGTGTCTGGTGCTCCGTAGAGCTGCCGCCGCCGCTGCCGCCGCCGCCGCCGCCGCTGCCGCTACAGCCGCCGCTGCAGCCGGAGCATCCGGGAGCCGCCACTGCCGCCGCCGCTGCCGCCACTAGCGCTGCTTCCACCGCTGCTACCTCCCCTCCCAGGACCTCGAGACACCCCGGGTGCGAGCGGCAGTGCTGCTTGCTTGCTCCCCCTCTCCCCCAGCCCTTCCCCTCCGTGACCTATCCACTCCTTGCAGCCCTCGCCCGCACCTTCTCCGACAACCCGGCACCCCTGCACCACCTGCTCGGGCAGCCCCGGCGGGCTCTGGGACTTGCTGTGCGCGCCGAGAGGAAGGCAAGCTCCAAACCCCTGCCTGGCAGACAGGCTGTCGCGGCTGCACCACCAGCAGGAGGAGGAGGAGAAGAAACTATTTCGCCCACCGATACCCCATTCTGCGGGTGCTTTGCCGCTGTCGCTACTGCTGCCGCCGATCCGAGTCCGCGGGTTCGAACACCTCAGCGGCGGGGACGGTAGGTCCCGTGGGCGCCGGGAGGAGGACACCAGCGGAGCCCTGCACTCTCGTGCCCCGCTCACCAGCATCTACTTGCCCCCTCGTTCCTTCCCCAGCCCTTTAGAGAAGGGACCATGATTTGGAAACGCAGCGCCGTTCTCCGCTTCTACAGTGTCTGCGGGCTCCTGCTACAAGGTAATCCCCGCCCCGCCGCGGGGAACATCAACTTCTCGCCCATTCCCCATCTTTCCCATTCCACCCCATATTTCCACTCTCCCCTCCCAGTCCCCCTGTCCCCAGCGATTTCCACCCCCTCCCCCTACTCTCTGGTGCGGCAGGGGGCAGTGGCAGTTTGCACCAGCCCCTTGAATTTCTAACGCTGGCTCAGCCCTGCCTTCCCAGCAGTCAGCCCCTTACGCGGCACCTTTTGCCTTTTCATTCACCTGAGCTTCCTTCATCTCACTCCATCCCCGCCGGCATCCCCCTCCCACGCCTTTTGGCTGGCAACTTGTGCCTCTCTGAACATTCCACCCTCCCGACAACCCCCACCAGCCACCTCCCACATCACGCTCTTGACCGACCCTCTCCGTCTCTTGTCATCTTTTTAACCTCCCCCTTTTCGGGTCGTCTTTTCTTTTCCCCCTCTTCCCACCATCATCATATCCGTGTGTCTTTAAAAAGTGTGTGAGAGCCTGGGAGCGAGCTACCAAGACGGCGAGAACAGCAGCAGCGGCAGCACCGTGTGCATTGCAATAACATCTCCGGGGGGGAAATGTGTTGTGAGACGTGTCATTCACCTAGGAAGAGAGAGGAGACTCTGTCTGGGATTTAAGAAAAACAAAAAGAAAGAAAGAAAGAAAAAGAAAGAAAGGAAAAATAATAAGAAAAAATAAAAAAAAAATGAACGAATGAATAAATAAACCAATAAATTAAGAAAGGGGAGAAAAGGCAAAAAAAATTAAAAGACCCAAACGCACTTTATCAACACATTGAGTTTTTATTATTCAGTCTGTGTCATTTCTTTTTTTTTTAATCAAAGAAATGTATGCTTCCTAGCAGTTACTTTACTGCCAAGAGATTTTCACTTAGATTTCCTACCTCTCCATCTTCTCTCTGCCGCTTCTTTCCGTAATTAATATTATCCTTTCACGTGAAATGTAAGAACCCCTATGACCGCAGTGGAGGGAAGCCGCACAGAACGCTGTTATTATGCAAATCACTGGGTTTGGATGCCGGAAGGCTAGGGAATCTGGGTTCACTTTTCTCCAGACCCTCTTTTTTGGAGGAGGGAGTGAGGGGGCTGTGTGGAATGGGAGGATGATGCTGCTTATGAAATAAATGGCAATGCATAGTACAGGAGTGCATGAGGACACTTTGGGTGGTGGAGGAGGCAGAGGCGGCGTGCTAGGGCTGGGCGGGCAGGGGCTGTAAGGCGGAAGATTGTCGCTTTGAAGAGAATAGTATAGGGATGTGGCTTGAATGTGAGATATAGCGAGGATGGATGTGAAATGATGATTGATAGAATATTTTTTAAGCTAGGTGACCAGATTTTTTTTCTTTGCCTATCTCTAAACCCTTCTGTCATTATTTGGGTATTTGCAGGAAGACAAGTTGATGAAATTAATTTTTCCCTGGGTAAAAGGGATCTGAAAGTAAGACACACGTAGACTCACTGGCGTGCAAAACCCAATCGGCCTTTGGAGGATTTAAATGAGGTCAATGAACCATCTTTCAGCAAGTTCTTGGAATGCATCCTCTCTCCTGCCCTCCTCCGGGATATAGACTGGGGACAGAATTTTATTTATGCATATTTATGAACATGAAAGAAGAGGCAGTGGGCAGAATTTTCCTGAATTAACTAACTGACCTTCGAGAGATCTTGTGTAGAATATTTTGGTGGTACTTTTGTGTATTTTACGTTGGGTGTAAATTTCAGGCATGTCATGTGTGCCAGAATCTCCGTGAAGGCAGACAGCACATTCTTCCTGCGTACGCCGCCGAGTCCCATTTCTCACCCTTCACACCCCTATCCTCACGCAAGTAACCCGGGTGTCTGACACGTTACTTAGGTTTTTAATCCGCGCTGAGACAATCTCCCGGAGACCCTACTTCACCTCTCAGTAACTTGCATTTCTCAGCTCAGCTGTGTGTGTGTGTGTGTGTGTGTGTGTGTGTGTGTGTGTGTGTGCGCGCGCGCGCGGGCGCGCGCCGGCGTGCGCCGTGTTGGGGGGAGTGTGATGTGGGGGAATCAGTTAATTTGGTGATTGCAATGAAAATTCGACACCGCTAGATGTATTTTCCCTGCCAATCTGTGTGTGCTGGTCCCGGCCGGTCAATGCACACACTGCTGGGCTGCTGCGAAATTATTTATTATAGAGCATGTGGGTCATGGACTGCACTTGGGGTCGCCTCCTCTCTTCCTTCAACATTTCCCTGTGAATTGTCTATTCAGTGCAGTGCAAAATAACTGTTTGCTGGTGCCTCTCTCAGCCTGGAGGAGGATTTACTCTTTCTCTACCCGGAGAGATTCCATCAGCAGCATTCAGGCATGAGTCTCTTTTATTGAGTATGTAAACCAATGATTAAGACAGTGCTGCTTTTCACAGCAGACTGGGGTGGGGGGGGGTGCGGGAAGGGGGTGTGAGTATAGCAGAGAAAATGCACCACTGCAACCAGCAGCAACACCAGCATTAGGTCCAATAAATAAATAAATAAAGGTCCTATACAGCAACCAGGGAAAGAGCACAAGTCCAACCATGTCTGTGGACTTAGGAGCATCTTAGATCAGGCCATATGAATACACTAAAAGAGATAAGAGGATTAAAAAGAGAAAGAAAGAAAGAAAGAAAGAAAGAGGAGGAGGCACAAAGCACTACTGGATTGTCTTCTCATGTTTATGGCTGCCTCACATTTATTCATCAAACACTACTCCACAGACACATCATACTTTGTTGATATTGTCAGGTTTTGCTCAAATTGCTCATCCCTTCCTTGTCTTAGGCTTGGCTGAGAACATTGCTTCGGGGTTCAGATTTATGTTTCTCCCCTACCCTACCGTTTTATTAGGACTTGGTTAGGTTGTAAAATGAAGGCTTTATTTCTTGGACATAGATTAACTACTTAGCGGGTCTTTCTATGTGCAGGGAGAAAAGGGTGGCAGGGGAACTAGTGAGCGACTGATTTTGGCTAGAGGGAGTCTGCCCTGCCTGCTAGTAGTTATGACTAGGCAAATACTATAGTCAGTCAATAGCTTCTTTTTTTAGCTTTATCAGCACTATAGTGATATTCACTTAAGTAATACTAATCAGTTTATTTATCCCATGTATTACTCTTCCCTTTCTTGCAGTATACATTATTAAAGACAAAAAAACTCATTGGAACATATCTTCTCCGTGTTTCTGTATTTTAACTGACTGTATTTTATATTATCACCTATATTTTTTACCTTTTTTTCTCGGAAGCAAATCAATTTTCTGGCTTGTTAATATGTGGAGTGATAAGCCAGTGATGAGAATCCAGTCAATGATAAAATGAGTTTTCTTTAAAAAGGCTTACTTAATTCTATAACATCTGCCAGTTTGTCCTCATCCTCATCGTGTCTTTAGGAAATGAATAATAAATAGAAAATAAACGTATGCTTTTGGCCAAACTATAACTTGGAATGTAGGCTACCTAAATAGCAAAATTTGATTTAGTGTTCAGCTACAATGCATCTTTTCTTATTTTCCCTCATCATAGAAAGAGGAAAATCTGGAGTAAGCACAAGGGACACATTAGAGAAATGAATTTCTTTGCAAGGATTGCAAAAGCTTGCCACCTGTAACTAAGTCCTCTCTTGGCTATAGAGTAGATCCAGTTCAATTGCTAACCCTTGCTGAAACTTTATCCCTTTCCATGCCTGAGGGGGCACTGCAAAGATGGAGAGAGTGCCCTGGGCAGCACAGGAAACAATTCTGGAAAGGGCAAAAAAGAAACAAGGGCAAAATATAACAAGAAATAGTCATGCATACATGCATACAAGACCTCATTTTGTTGAGAACTGTGTTTACTTTTTGGAATTAGTCGTATACAAAAACACCTCCAAGACAGATACTGGGGCTTTAGTTTTTTGTGTTTGTGTGTGTGTGTTTTTTTTAATTTTTTATTTTGACCATGGTATATTCTGGTAAATGATTTGTTATGTTTAGTAGAAATATAACACAAACACAATTTAATTTGAATATGTATTCAAATTAAATCTCATTGGATGTACATAATACTTGCCTCAGTATGTGTCATGAACCTCATCTTACATTTTTTAGAAAGCACATTATAATACATATTATACTTATATACACTTAATGAAATAATTATGCTTCCTAAAATCATATCTTTCCAACTATTTTACCTTCACATATATTAACTTTAGTCTTGTCAAACTCATTTCTTATGCCAAATGTAGTTCTTGAAATACATTTTACTCACTCCCTTTTTCGATTAACATAAACTTTGGAAAATGGAGCCTATATACTTAAATGCAATAACTGTGGCTTATATAGTCGAACATCAGACAATTGGTAATTAAGAAAATCTTTGCAAATATGAGGAGTTCCTAGACTGGTTTTATATCAAGATGTGGAAGCTTACTTCATTGTCTTTTTTCCATTTCTATAACTATTAGAACTCTGGGAACATAATATGACAAAGCTAAGTATCAATTGAGATGATCTGTTCTTGTGTCCTTCATTAGAAGATAAGACATTTTAAAACTATTTGTCACACAATTAAATAGTGGTAGAATGTCATTTTTCTTTAAGAAAAAAAATACTTAAATCACTTAAAGAGCAAAATGGAAGTGCAAAAATGTTGGAAGACATCCTGAGCGTGCATTTGAAAGTGGCCTGGAATCAACACTAAATGGCATAAATTTTCTCTTTAAGTAGTTTGTGGGATATCAGTGATTGAGACAAGTAAGCCTTATTTACTATGAAGGATTTGGGGGTACATTAATAATCAAATATAGACCTAATGTCATATGGATGTTTTATTTGAGCTTGCTGACATGTGCTCTATGATATTTATTGAGAAATAGTCTTCATTTTATTAGACTATATTAAACCGATTGGCTAAGTCACCCATTCTGTAGCAGCTGACTGAACAGACTGAGGAAGTAGAGAGAAGGAAAATCACAAACCAAGGAAGCCGACTCAGAAACT